GGCTTTTTCTCCTGAATCTTGATCTTGCGATGTCTCTCCGTGCTGTTGCAGCCTCAAATCTTGAGCCTCGTGCTTGTGCTGCCCAAGTCTTCCATTGCAACTTCTCTTCATGCGTTTGCTGTTTCTTGGGTTTCTGCTGAGTCGATACAGGTAAATGATAGGGCGCAATGTTAATGACGGAGTATTCAAATTCTTTGCTCGCACTATTGTGACTTTGCTGGTGGAAGGTAGAGAAGTGCGAAGTTAATGTAATTACTAGTTCTCGAGATTTAAGATTCCCTCAAGCGCTGCACTTTTCACCTTTCCATGAAACAAAAGACATGGATAAGTGCATACAACCATTCATCAGTCAATCAAGCCGCGGGGCAACAAATCTAGTTTATTCTTGGCAAGCGTATATTGCTGCAATCTGTCTTATGATCCTCCGCCATCTTTCCTACAGTTTCACAAAAGGTATGACCCTAAACCCTAAACCCTAAACCCTAAACCCTAAACCCTAAACCCTAAACCCTAAACCCTAAACCCTAAACCCTAAACCCTAAACCCTAAACCCTAAACCCTAAACCCTAAACCCTCCTAAAACGCCTAAATGCGTAGTCAAAGCCCAGAAGATGGACCTGCTTCCCGGCGCAATTCTACACCTGCAGTTTTTCATGCCGAAACCCCTGAGCCCCAAACCTGAGGCCCCAAAACCTCAAAAAAGCCCCTAAAACCCTACAAACCTTGATGCCCTGTAAGCTTTAAGCTCCTAACTCTCTCAAGCCCCTAAACCTCTACAACCCAAAGCCCCTAGAGCCTTTGAACCGCGAGTCCATGAACCTTCCCTTGTTTTTTGCGTGTCGGGCTTTTGAGGATGGGCGCTTTGGGGGGTTTAGGGGCTGTTGAGGGCTTTAGGGATTTCAGGGGTTGCGGGTTTAGATGGGTTTCGGGGATTGGGACTCTGGAATGTTCATCTTGAAACCGCAAATCCCACACCCTAAACCCAAACCCTAAACCCTTTAAACCCCAAAAAGCGCTAACCCACAAGGCATTGACTGCGCCGGCTTTCTGAGATAGTCTTCGAGAGGGTACCATGCGCACAGTTGTCACAGCTTGCGCAGGCTGTAGTCTCAGAGTTTAGGGCTTATAGGGTTGAGAAGTAGGAACCCGCAAACCCAAGATGTTCGGGGTTTTGGGGGGGTTGCAACCCTAAACCTTAAACCCCTAGACCTCTAGACCGGAACAGCGCGAGGGTCCTCTGCAAGGGTTTACTACTACTACTACCAATTGTTTAAGAACCCCCCAAAACTACAAAATGTTCTGCCTTATAAGGGTCAAAATAGGATTATTATTTTTAAATTTCTGTGGGTTCGTCAGCAAAGAGTTGTTTTTTTTAGAATTTCTGTGGGTTCTTCAGCAAAGAGTAGTTTAGGGTCTGGGCTCTGGGTATCCCCAAGCCCTGGATTCGCCATGTCCTGGTTTCGCCTGGCACTTGGCCTGGCGTTGCTGGCATTGAAGGCCACGCGCACTTTCCTGCCATGAGTTTGACTGTTTCCTTATAAAGAGCCCGCCACAAAGCTAAAAGATGACAATCGTATTACTACTAAGGAAGAATAGGTTCATTCTTTTGGGTGTCTCAAGCAGATAGTGGTTTTGGGTTTAATGAATCCGCAACCCTAAATTCGAGGCCCTTGGGACCCTGGCAAAACTTCCCCTTACTAAGGGGAGGTTCAGGGTGGAGCTCCTTTCTCCATATTGCAAGAAAGCTCACCAAAAGGATCCCGAAGTAGGTCTTCGGGGCAAATTTAGTCTGGGCTCGATGTCTGTCCTTATTGAGGTCAGGAGGGTTTTAGATCGACGGTTTCTTTTGAGGGGGCCAACCTAGAATGTGGGGGTTGCTCTGCGAGTCCTTATTCAGGGGGTGCTTTGTGGGAGGGGGTTTTGCAGGGAACCTCTCTTCAAGTCTTCTGTAGCGGACATTGTTGGCAATAGGTCAATAGGCTTTAGGACTCCAGGGGTGTTAATGTCTAGGATTTCAATGTATCCGCTGCCCGCATCTCACAGTTTAACCGGAACCCTATGTAAACCCATGCACTTCACACTCCAACCTAACCCTCGGCCCACACATGAGGCACACAGAAGTGAAAACCCTACATCCTTGAGTTTTGCAGTCGGTTCTTCGGGTTTGTCCAAAGGATCGTCGTGAGTACCCGAAGTCTTCCGAACCTCTCCAACCCTTACCTGCGAGACAAGCCGGAGCAGCGCAAGCCCGAAGTTTTCCTAAATCCTGAAACCAAACTTCTCCAGAACCCAGACCCTCCACACAAAAGCCGCCGCAGAAACAACACAAAAAACATATCTAGGTGGGACTTTGCTACTACTTTTGTCACTTTATAGGTTTAGGGTTCCGCGAATTTCATATTAAGGGAGCTAAAAGATAAACTTTTATTGGGGGTTAAACAACAACCAAATAATTAAGAGGTCGCCTGAAAACGCCATGGTTGCATAACACCGGCAGGTGTGTGACAAACACAGAAAGCACGCATTCAGCAGACGCAGTGCGTTTGTCATGTAAAAACTATGACAAAAAGCATAGTAATTCATACACTTGTTGTTCATAGCCAACTCCTGGCAAAACCTTCGCATGAAAAACACGGACAACAAAGGAACCCGTATGGATACATCTGATCTAAACCCTTGATGACTGCAGGCGGTGTGTGAGGCAAGCTGCCTTGAGAATGCCATCCCCTTCAGAACCTCAGCCTTCGAAAGAAGGGAAGGGGGGTCGTTGGGTTTATATAAGAAAGGGTTCAGGATTTGGTTAGGCTTCAGCATTTAGGAGAGGGTGCCCTTGCCGCCCGACACACAGGTGGGGGCTTTCTCGGGCTTGCGGTGAGCTGAACTTGACATTTTTTGGAGTTGTCGCAGTCGCAGGTCTCTAAAATCTCTACAGGTTTTAGGCAGAGATTCAGGACCCTGCAACGCCACTGAAGCCGAAACCCTACCTAGCCTACTACCTAGCCATAGTCCTCAACCAAACCCAATCCCGAGCGGCCTCATCCCCTGACGGCCTTAAACACCAGGCCAGCGGCAAGACCTGACGCGGTCGAATGGCGAGTCCTACCCAGCAGCTCGTTGTCAGTGTAAAGGGTTTAGGGTTTAGGGTTTAGGGTTTTAAAGGACCTGACCCCTAAACCCTCGATCCCGAAACCTGTATGGACCCTGACAGCCTCGAACCCTCAGCCTTGCTGAGCCCAAAAGTCTTATGAACCTTAAACCCTCGACCCTTAATACCCCCAAAACTAGTAGGATTCCCTTAAAGTAAGGACCCGCAAAAAGGTACCCCCTAGTTTCGTAAACCCTAAACCCTAAACGCTAAACAGTGAGCCCTAAACCCTTATGAACCCTGCACCCAGGACCTTCAACGCTGAACCCCAACACCCGAGCAGTGTCCAAGTCGAGCCAACGGCTTCTGGGCTCCAGCTTCCCCGCAAACCCAAAGTGCGCCTTAAGAAGGGTTTAGGGTCTAGGGTTTAGGGTTTAGGGTTTCGGGTTTAGGGTTTAGGGTTGAGGGCTGAGGGTTTAGGGTTTAGGGTGCAGGGTTACGGCAGCCTAATACTACCGCAGCGACCACCCTAAGTAGACCCTACTCTCTTTCGTCTCTTGTCGGCACACCTGCTGACGAGGCGGTTCCGGGGGGTTCCGTGTTGGCATCGCACGTACGTTCGAGGGTTCAGGCTTTGGGCTTGTGCAGTCTTGAGGGCGCTTATGTAGTCCAAGTCTCGCGTGAAGCTGCATCTCAGGTCGGACTATGGATCAACGACTACCCAGCTGGCCATGCCACTGGCACCGTTTTCAGAGGGTGGTTGAAAGATTAAGAAACCCTAAGCTACTAACCCCTCAAGCCTAAACCCTGGTTCCGTGAAGACAGTTATCCCTACGCCCGAAGTTCTGCTCTCTTCCCTGTAGCCTTGAAGCCTTTTTTCTCCGAATCGGAATGTTGAGCGTAGGGCTAGGCAGCTGACTTTTCTCGGGTTCGAGTTTAGGGTCTAGCAGAAAGGGCTTAGTTTCAGTCGATCCAAAGTATCAGGTCTTCCCACCGTAGGAGAGCTTGCAGGGACCTAGGAAATGTCAGCAAGTCAACATCAAAGGTACCTTGAGACTCCAATTCTGCAAGCAAAAAGCCTACTTTGGGATTTTGAGTCCACAAGAAGACCTCACTTGGGGTAATTGCACCATGGGGCCATGGGGTCGGGCTCGGGCTTCTGAACCACTACCACGCGAAGAGTCTCCGTGAGACCCATTACGATCCGACAGGAATCCATGCTTTCCCTGGAGCTCTAAACCCTTCTAAGCCCTTCCGAGCCCACAGAATCCCTACAGAAACCTTATGAACCTGCACAAACCCTTCAAAACCCCGGACCGTATGGGGAAGGTATTGGCATGAGCATCTGCCTGGTGTCCTCTCTCCTTACCGGTCCTACCGGGCTGTTACCTGCTTTGGGGTTTAGCTTTGGGTTTAGGGTTTAGGGTTTAGGGTTTGGGGTTTAGGGTTTAGGGTTCAAAGAAGCCTCCACGCATACCCTCATGCTCACTTATGCTCTGTTCTTTTGGGTTACTCCGGAACCCAACCCCCCAAACCCCTAACAACAAGGAGGGCTTGCGACACCTTCACTTAGTCCATAGTCCAGAATGGAGCTTCACCTTTTTGGTTTCCTTATTCTGTAGGAAGCTTTATCACACGCCCGTTGATAGTTCAGTACAACGAAGATAGTAATAGCATGTATAGAGCCAGCCTCACTTGCTCCCTGGCAATTGGAGAAGAGGTTTGGGACTCAAGGCTTAGGATGGTTGTTTGCCGTCGCACTTGTTGCTCTTCCACACCCTAAACCCTAATGAAACCTCCTCATCCACCTTCTTTCCCCTCATTCCTTCCTTATCCCCTGTTGCTTCTCCTACACCTCGAAAGACTACGCTTAATCTATTCGCAAGCCTCATGCTCTAGGTAGGTTCTTTGGGCGATGAGCCACCTTGTTGGGTTTACGAGTATCGCATTTGGGCCAATCTAGCACTGCATGTGAAGCGTTCCTCATTTCAGGCGACCAGCGCGGTTGTCCGAATTCTGATCGAGGAGCCGAGTAGCCCCCCAAAACCCTAAACCCAAACATCCTAAACCCTAAACCCTACACCCTAAATCAGATTTGGGAGTGGCCCATCATTTGCGACATGGGGTTTGCGACACCAAGCCAAAAAGCTACAACGTGTGAGCACTTCCTCAACCAGGTGCGGCAACCCGAAACCCTAAACCCGAGCCCTAGGCCCTAATTAATCCCTAAACCCTAAACCCTAAACCCTAAACATGGGTAGGGGCACGGAATCTGGAGACTTCACGACTTTTTGGTCTAATTACTTAAAGGTTCATGTGTACCTAGAAGTGGGGTTTATAAGTACCCTAAGTTGGGTACTAGCCATAGTTAACCTTACTTGCAACCCTATACTTATCAGTACCCCCAAAACCCTAAACCCTATATTTAGGGCTCTTACAACCCAAACCTTACGTACCCATGAACCTTCAAGAGTTTGAGGCTCCCCGCCGTGCATAGGGAGAAGGTTCATGGCGACGAAGTAGGGCCAACAACCTTTGAGCTCAGGTTTCCAATAGCACGAGCTATTTCACGAAACTGCCCATGACAACGAACCTTCAAAAAACTCAGCTTTCGAAGCCTTAAACCACCCTAAACCCGAAACCCTAAACCCTTAATCCTAAACCCTAAACCCTAACCCCTCAGGAGCGACTGGGCTACAAGGTCGTCGAGCAAGGACCAGGCAAGCTGCTCGGGTTGAGGGCTTAGGGTTTCGGATTAGGGTACTGCTACGGCCCGGCTGTGCAGTCTCATGTGTTCTTAACCTGGGCTTCGGATCCCTGAAAGGTGTGAACCCTAGTTAAACCACGTCCTGGCTGCCTTAGTCCGGCAAAGGTGGTTTGTTGCTGAAGGAGCGATGTTCCTACCGGTAAGGGCTTTGATAAACGTGGAAATATTAACCCCCCCCCCCAACCACCCCAGCCCAGCAAAAAGTAAGAACAGCAAGAAAACTGAGGTTAGAAGTCCGGTAAGCCTCGAGTACGGAGGTGCCGAACTGTCAGTCCACCAGTTCCGGAGCAGCGATTGCTACCCCTTGGGGTTTAGGGTTCAGGGTTTAGGATCAAGCCCTGAGAACCCGGAACCCGCCAACCCTGAACCAACCAGTTTAGGGTTTGGGGTTTAGGGTTTCGGGGGGTTTAGGGTTCAGGGTTTAGGGTCTTGCGAAGCAGGCCCGGGCACGCTCAACGCCTTTTATGCCCTCCTGGGCTGCACATCTCCTTTGAATCTCACTGATCGCGGCTGCCCTTGGCCTGCAGCGAGAGGAGCCATTTGGGGACCAAACCCTCAGCCCTAAGCCCGGAACCCTAAACCCTAAACCCTAAGCCCTGAACCCTAAACCCTTTTGGGTAGCTTCGGAGTCTGAGTAAGACCTAAACCTCTCAATCCCAAACCCCCGTTCACCGCCACCCCCTTCCCTAAACCCTAGCTCTTAACCCTAAACCCTACACCCTGAAAACCCTACAACTCTAAACCTAAACCCTCCACCCCGAAAATCCTAAACCCGAAAGCCCACCCTACACCATTTCTCCACGCCGAACGCCTGAAAAAGAGCCGAGGCGGCGCCCCGGTGTCTTGGCAAGAGCGCAGTGGGCTTTCGGGCTCTCGGCCTTCCGGAATCTTAAGGCTTAGGGTTTGGGGTTTGTAGCGTTTGTTGGGTTTAGGGTTTTAAGGGTTTTAAGGGTTTTAAGGGTTTTAAGGCTTTTGAGGGTTTTAAGGGCTTTAAGGACTTTAAGGGTTTTGAGGGTTTTAAGGGTTTTAAGGGTTTTAAGGGTTTTAGGGGTTTTAAGGGTTTTAAGGTTTAGGGTCGGGGGTTGTCAGGATTGGAAGTCTCTGATCCCTCCTGGGCCTCAAACTCGCCTGAGGAAAGCCGAGGAGGACGGAGTGAACTGGGGTTTAGGGTTTGGGGTTTAGGGTTTAGGGTTTAGGCTTAGGGTTTAGGGTTTAGGGTTTAGGGTTCCTAAACCCTGAAGCTGGTATTACGGTATGCGCAACTGGAGTTCTGGGAAGCTTGTGACTTTGAAGGGCTCTGAACCCAAGAGGGGCTTGAAAATGCATGCGGGGTGGCCACCACGGCCCCTCGGCGGTGCCTTCATGATGGGGCAAACCCTAAACCCTAAACCCTAAACCCTAAACCCTAAACCCTAAACCCTAAACCCTAAACCCTAAACCCTAAACCCTAAACCCCAAACCCTAAACCCTAAACCCTAAACTTATGAGGTGACCTACAGCCACATCAACATGGAGACCTGGGCCGAGGGTTACGCAAATGAGTGGAATGAGATCCAGGCAGGACCTCCCTTGGCTAAAACCGTCAGAACGAGACGCTTAGCTCCTAAGCCTAAACTCGAGTAGCCCTAGACCCTAAACCCTAAACCCTAAACCCTAAACCCTAAACCCTAAACCCTAAACCACCCTAAACCCTAAACCCTAACGACCCTAAACAAGTGTTACGGGGGGTTCACGTCGGCTCAAGAGAAATGAAGGGTGTGCTTCGGCGCGTTGGGGCAGCTTGCTGATAACAGTAGGCTATCGGCCGAAGCACCCTCACTTTACCTTTTAGGGTTTAGGGTTTAGGGTTTAGGGTTTAGGGTTTAGGGTTTAGGGTTTAGGGTCTAGGCATCCAGACAACTACCCGGGAGGGTGCTTTACCGTTGACCTCACAAACGCTGGCGCTAAACGATCTGTTTGGTGCATCAAGCCGCAAAAGTAACAGGGGCGAAGGTGCAAGCTGGTTGTACATGTGTTGCGGGTTTTGCCACGGTTTAGGGTTTAGGGTTTAGGGTTTAGGGTTTAGGGTTTAGGGTTTAGGGTTTAGGGTTTAGGGTTTAGGGTTTAGGGTTTAGGGTTTAGGGTTAGGGTTTAGGGTTTAGGGTTTAGGGTTTAGGGTTTAGGGTTTCGTTTAGGGTTTAGGGTTTAGGGTTTAGGGTTTAGGGTTTAGGGTTTAGAGTGTCAGGGAGGGGATGGTATAACGAAGCTTGGAGCATGTCGACGAGTTCTAACCTCTGAGCCCTCACAACCCTCGAAACCCACAAACCCCATAAACCCCCTAAACCCCCTAAACCCTAAACCCTAAACCCTAAACCCTAAACCCTAAACCACAGAAATATCCTCAAGAAGCAAGGCCCCTGACCAGGCTCGTTTCACCTCCATCGCACCGATCAATGCTGGAAGCATGGGCCAGGTACTCGAAGAAGGGCCTGCAGGGTTAGGGTGTAGGGTTTAGGGTTTAGGGTTTAGGGTTTAGGGTTTAGGGTTTAGGGTTCAGGGTTTGGGTCTTAGTAGAGTTTGGAGGTGCAGGGGTTAAGGGTTTAGGGTGAAGGCCTCGCAGCTTAGTTCACTAAACCCTAAACCCTCAACCCTTTTCGTGAGTCGTAGGTCCTTGTATGGCCAGGCCGAGTCTGTGTCGGTAACTAGAGCCCTCTTCTACCTCGTAGTAGAGTAGGTAGCCTTTAACCTTGCTAAATAGTATGATCCCCTTATAATTATTATAATCCCAACCCTAAACCCTAAACCCTAAACCCTAAACCCTAAACCCCCAAAGGTTAACCTTTAGTTCCCCCAGGTTACTGGACAACTAAGTTTAAGAGCATACCAGACCAACCCTGCATCAAAAGCAGGACCCCTGGCCACACCAAATTTTTGCGCTGCGCAGTCCACTCTGTAAACCCTAAACACGGTTTCGGGTTTAGGGTTTAGGGTTTAGGGTTTAGGGTTTTAGGCTTTAGGGTTTAGGGTTTAGGGTTTAGGGTTTTAAACCTTACCCTGCAACTCGAAGCCCTAATGTTTGCACTCCGGCGTGTGGCTGCGCGGAGTGCTTAGAGAGCCTTGAGAGCCCGGAGCCTTAAACCCCACCAAAAACCTAAACCCAAGCGCCCCTTTTTTCGGACACCGCAAGCTCCGCCATCGCTGGTAGTTCTGTTTGTGGTACTTTAACGTAACTTTAGATGCTTACCATTTTTGGGTTCATTGGGTTTCTTAATCAGGCAGCTAAAAGTTTAATTTATAGCTACCCTCCTGAGTGCAGCCAAGTTCTGAGGCTACGTCGGCAAAGCATCCGCGTTCATTCCGCAGCGTGTTCGGGAGCAGGCTGCCCAGGGGTTGAGGTCAAGAGGGTTTAGGGTTTAGGGTTTAGGGTTTAGGGTTTAGGGGTTTAGGGGTTTAGGGGTTTAGGGGTTTAGGGGTTTGGGGGTTTAGGGGTTTAGGGTTTAGGGTTCAGGGTTTAGGGTTTAGGGTTAGGGTTTAGGGTAAAACCCTCCAAAAAACACGCGGGATTTAAGGTTTACTTGAAGGTTCAGGGGTACTCATAAGTAGGGCTAGAAGTTGCCCTACTTATAACCCGACTTATGAGAACCCATGAACCTCCGAGTAGCCCTAAACCCTAAACCCTAAACCCTAAACCCTAAACCCTAAACCCTAAACCCTAAACCCTAAACCCTAAACCCTAAACCCTAAAGTTTAGGGGTCTGTGGGGTCAAGCGCAGGACAGAGGGTCGAGGCCTTTAAGGGGTTCGGGCTCAGGGTTTAGGGTTTAGGGGTTTAGGGGTCTAGGGTTTAGGGTTTAGGGTTGCCAGGACCCTGAGCTGGCCATGTGAGTCTTTAAGTAGTACCAGGTGCCGAAAGGCCCCGAACTATAGTTAGCCTTCCTGCTGTCTCCAGTATGCTTGCAGCCTCAGCCAAAGCCTGTGATTTAGAGTTTAGGGTTAGGGTTGAGGGTTTAGGGTTTAGGGTCTTCGCCTCAAAACACTAAACCCCCAGCACCCTAAGCCCGAAAAACTTGAGGAATCCTTGCGCTGGGATATTGACTCGGGCTTCCGGTGCAAGATGGGATATGCGGTTTAGGGTTTAGAGTTTAGGGTTTAGGGTTCAGGGTTTAGGGTTTAGGGTTTAGAGTTTAGGGTGCACCCCAACCCAAAGCCAGGCATACTTCCAGGATGGCACAGTGTTGGACTTCTTCCGTGGCTGGAACGTCTCCTGGACCCCTCGTTTCTTCGGCGGTTAGGGTTTAGGGTTTAGGGTTTAGGGTTTAGGGTTTAGGGTTTAGGGTTTGGGGTTAAGGGTTTAGGGTTTAGGGTTTAGGGTTCAGGGTTTGGGGTTTAGGGTTTAGGGTTTGGGGTTAAGGGTTTAGGGTTTAGGGTCTCAATCCTAAAGGGACTAAAACTTAGCAACCTGGCCATGCCATCGTTGTACCCCCCCCCCCCCAAGAAAAAAACAAAAACAAGCCAAAATCAAAGAAACTATGAGACTAATTATTTATATAACTTTCAAGAACACATACGAGCACCTTTGATCTTGGATCCCCCGCAAGAAACGAACCTAATCCTTAAACCCTGACCCCCCACCCCCCCCCCCCCCCCCACCCTAAACCCTAAACCCTAAACCCTAAGCCCTATAAGCCCTAAGCCCTAAACCCTAAACCCTAAACCCTAAACCCCCCAAAACCCCTAAACCCTAAACCCTAAACCCTAAACCCCTATAACCCCTAAAACCCCTAAAACCCCTAAAACCCCTAAAACCCTAAACCCCCTAAAACCCTAAACCCTAAACTCTTTCCATGCTGCAGGTCATGAGACTCTACCTTGGAGCCCTAAGGTTCTACCCTTGGGAACCGTTCTTCAAGGTCCTCTAAAGGCCTGTTAGGAGAACAACATAAGGGTACCCTAAACCCTAAACCCTACACCCTAAACCCTAAACCCTAAACCCTAAACCCTAAACCCCTAAACCCTGAACCCTAAACCCTAAACCCCTGAACCCTGAACCCTAAACCCTAAACCCTAAACCCCCTAAACCCCCTAAACCCTAAACCCTGTACTTAGGGGTCCGAGTGTGACCCCCTTTGAGCAGGAGCTCGCCGTGGATGTTCTTTGACAGCCTTGACTCCATCGAGCGAAGCCATCTTCTCCCTTGTCCTTCGCACTTGATTGTTTTTTGGTTTTTTTTTTTTTTTTTTCGGGGGGGGGGGGGGGGGGGGTTGGGGTTTTGGGTTAGGGTTTGGGTCGGAAGAAGTACTCATTTTATTCCCTTATGGTTTCCATACAAGTATACTATTCAGACATCCCCGCCCCCCCCTCAAAAAAAGAGCCTGTTTGATTTATTCGGGCCCCTTTAGTAGTTTGTTTTGGTTTGGGGTTTAAGGGCTTAGGGTTTGACCCTGTACAATAACAGTTTCCTCAAGAGCTAATTACTATTCCTTCTGGGGCAGATTTTTTCCAGGTTTTGGCCTCGACGTGTGTGTGATTGTATTCTTGGAGTCCCAGGGTATAAGGTATATGTTTTCGGAGGGTTTATTTAGGGTTTAGGGTTTAGGGTTTAGGGTTTAGGGTTTAAGTTGTAACTCTCTGCACTTACGGCTCAGGGAGTAGACAGGGATCAGACAGTTTGCTTTGCTCGTTTTGGTTCTTGGCTTTGCCATCCGGCTGCGTTGGGCGGTAATGATTCCTTCACATGGGACTTCGCACCGAAAACACCAAGAGAAACGCGTGAACCGTCACACAGCCTTTGGGAAGAGGTGTGACAATCTTGAATTCGGCACTCGTATTTTAGGGTTTTGGGCCCGCGGCCCTTGCCACAAAACTTCTCGCTTCAGGTTGAGGCTTCAAGGATGTATTTCGCACAAGCCGCAGGCAACCAGACTCGGTTCATGATCAGCAAGGCCAACGAAGACTATTTGCGCCACTTGCTGCATTTTCTCATGTTCGAGGTCGTGGGAAGGACTCATATTTTCCCAAGACATTTCCTGTGA